TCTCACCAATCACTCTGCTCCACCCACATTTTAAAGTTTGGGACTCTTCCAACTTCATTTTGTCCACCATGACTGGACTGGTTCCAGCCAGTTTGAAGCCCAGCTGCCTGGTTGTCTATGCACATCTATGACTAGAGGAGTGGTTCTCAACCTGTGGGTCGCAACCCCTTTAGGGGTCGAACGGCCCTTTCCCAGGGGTCGCCTGATTCATAACAGCAGCAAAATTGTAGTGAAGACGTAACAATGAAAATGATTTTATGTGGGGGGGGGCACCACCACCCGAGGAACTGTGCTAAAGGGTCGCGGCACGAGGAAGGTTGAGAACCGCTGGACTAGAGGTAGGCTGCTGTCCTCGTGGATGTACGATCAGGGCCTGAGCTGAATATGGAAGCTAAGCACCTTCTCCACGGTAACCAATTTCTGTGTAACGAAATCCAACCCGTCGCGGTTGAGTTGGTGCAACCAGTCCAAAGGAGGCTTCAAAAAGTTCACGTGAAAAATGGAATGAAAAGATAGCGGGATTGTGCCCAAGCGTCTTGAAGCCCAAAAACATGGCTTTCTACTCCCATAAAGATCTACGGTCTCAGAAATCCACAAGGCCAGTTCTTTCCTGTCCTACAGGACCCCGATAGAGCCATGAGGAGTCAGCAGGGACTATGGCAATGAGAGCAGATGGCTAACGCGTTACACTGAGAAGATGGGCAGGTTAGAATCTACCCAGAGATGCTGCAGAAGAAAGGCCTGGTGATCTATTCTACCACCACCAATCCTCACCCCGATCAGAAACTGAAAACCCTGCAGGGCAGAGTTCTGCTCTGACAGACGCAGGGGTCCAGTCAGCAGCAGCTGGGTTTGTGCGTGCCTGTTCCGCACGTGGACACGATGAGGGGGACTTGCAGTGCTTCCTGCCCTCTCCGTACTTCTGGGCTGCTCTCTGAAGGCCCACGGACAGGCTGCTGATTAAACAGGGCTTGGGGGCACAGTGGTTACGCTCATCACAGGGTCTGCATTGGAAATCACCACTCGGTCCTTGGGAGAAAGACAAGGCTTTCTACTCCCGTAACGAGTTACAGTCTCAGAAACCCACAGGGGCCATTCTATTCTGTCCTATAGGGCCGCCATGAATCAAATCAACCGATGGCAGTCAGTTTAAGGTTTGTTGGGGAGTTTTTGGTTTCCCACAGGGGCAAGGAGCCCCGGTGACCCTGTCAGGGATGCACCTCTGCTGATCAGCTGCTATGAGGCTGGGGCAATTATGATGCAGAGAAAATCTCTGCAGCCGGGAAGCGTCCTGCTGTTTTCATTGATGCCCTAATAGCTAAGAAGATGCTTTTGAGGGATATGACACACAATGTGTTTTCCAAAAGAGTTAGGCTTTTAACTTCCCCTATAAAACTGTATGCTATTGAAAGACAATACCTCCCAGAAGATTGTACCATGTGCCTCCCTCCTGGCCCTTTGGACAACTGCTAGACAAGAGAATGTCTACGGTTCTTAATTAATACTGAAGGCCGTAGTCTTTGACCTTCATCGGTGAGTGCATCAAGTACTTATTGTTTGGAGAGAAGATTTTTGCGACCAACAACCTTATTCTACTTGGATCAGTAGCCGAGGCCCTTGAAAGCAACAGTCAAGATACCAAACAGGTTGCCTTAGACCCATCTGCTGCAAAAGACCTCTCGGAAGCTTTGACAAGCAAAGGTGTCCCTTCCAGAGCTGCGATGCGCATGGGTCTTTTCAGCCACCTCCTATGCATGTGACAGCTGGACACTGACGACGAAGAGAGGAGAAGAAGCGTGCATTTGTGTTGCGGTGTTGGCAAAGAGCATTGACTGCACTGTGGACATCCGGAAGGATCGTTAAACCAGTCTTTGGAGAAATGCACCGAGGGGGTTCTTGAGAAATGAGTGTGGTCAGACTCCTCACTTGTCTTGGACAGGTCATCAGGAAAGTCCCATTGCGAGGAAAGAACATCATGTTTGGTCAAGGGCAGGGTGCGTGAAGGTAAAACCAAGGTGGCCCTCCAGGAGCTGGGTTCGCACTAAAGTCATAAAATTGGACTGAAACTCACCCAGGAGCGTGATGATGACGGGCAGTGTTTTGTTTATAGATGTAGATTGTCACTAGTCAGAGGCAAATCCGTGGCAATGAACGACAACGTCCTGAAGTCCCATGGGCTCCCTCACTTTCTGGCGATCTAGATGAGAGCCAAGTTCTGAGAGCTGTGATTCTCTAGAGCAGTGGTTCTCAACCTTCCTCATGCCGCAACCCTTTCAGACAGCTCCTCATGTGCTGACCCCCCAGCCATAAATTTATTTTCATTGCTACTTCTTAGCTGTACTTTTGCTACTGTTATGAATCAGGCGACCCCTGTGAAAGGGTCGTTTGACCCCCAAAGGGGTCGCCACCCACAGGTTGAGAACCGCTGCTCTAAAGCAGAGAGGGGCTCGCGTCTACACTGAGTCGAACATGTGCATCCCATACTCCATTCTACGGATGGGAGACAAAAGTGACCCCGGGGCTCATTGTGAGCCTGGGTTTGCGTTCTGTTGTTCTCTCGCGTGTTAGTTTGGTACCAAAGAACAGGAGTGCCTTCCGAAGGCCTTCTCTGACATGCCACGTCAGAGATTCCAAAGGGCCACAGCCATGGAAATTATAATAGACTCGTGTCTCATTTGCTACATATGTTAAACGTGCCCCCCCTCGAGCCAAGGGTCTCTGTGCCATTTCATATTCATAAGCAAAGACCTTTGTGAAATCCAACAAATACTGGCTACCCAACTGATGGGTAGGTGGGTGGGGTTCAGTTTAACTTATGGATAGGTGGGTGGGGTTCGGTTTATGGAGCTGCTAACAATAAAAGGAGCCTTAGTGACACCGTGTATTTGTTGGGCTGCTGTGCAGCAGAGCAGCAGTTTGAAACCACCAGCCAGCCACTCAGGAGAAAGTCAACACTTTCTACTCCCCGGCAGAGTTATAGTCTCAGAAACTAGGCAAAGCCGAGAGAGAGACTTGACACTGAGAACATCGTAACATGGGAACTAATTTATGAAGGAGCCATGGGAGGGAACCCTCTTATAAGTTGGGGACTGCCTGTATATAATTTTGTGCTTTGGTTGTATTATCATAAACATCATTTATTTTGTAACTTTGTCTTATGGATGAGGTGAAGATCATCAGTTTTCCACTCAACGACCCGTGCACATTTTGTTTCATCTCATCCTTTGCAATCCCCTCTATGTAGCCTTTCCTTACTTACGCTCCTCCTCCCCAAGTCTCCTGTTTCCACTCCGCTTTCCCTCCTGACCCTGCTGAACGTCGTCTTGGAGAAATGCTGCCCCCTTCCTCTACGGGGAGCAACGATTCTCAGGTGTACGCACTGCCCTAGTCTTACTGTTCTTACTGTTGTCCTTCTGGACCTGTCTGTGCTTTGGCTGAAACTCGAGCATTCTGGGGTGAGTTCAATCCCAGGCCTGAAGGATGATGAAAGTCCGTAGTCTCGGGAGGGGTGGGGGGATGGGGGTGGGCTCCCCCTTCTCTTTCTGACCAGTGAGTCTGGTCTCATTTATGCTTTTGACGTAAACATCATGTTAGTGGGTGCACAATTTTCCATCTGAAAGGTGTAAGCTCATTTACTAGCCCTAACTGTGGACATTTAGAACATTTCCCAACATTCTGGCACCGCCATAAACAATGCTGCCTATGGTGACGTTGGGAAGTCCTTGGATGGGGTGAACATTGAAGACAATCACTTGTTATCGGGAGGGTTGGGGGTTCAAGTTCACTCAGAAGAACCTGGGAAGAAAGACCTGGCAATCTACTTCCAACATGCCATCCCTCGAGAGCCCCGTGGGGCACAGCTCCCTTCTGACACCAGAGGAATTGCCACGAGTTAAAATCAACTGCCTAGCAGCTCCTCTATCTGTGCCTCCCCCGAGGGTCCAAAATGAAAACCACAAAAACCAAGCTCACTGCTATTAAGTCGATGCCAACTCGCTCAGGACCCTACCGGACAGGGTAGAACTGCTCCTGAGAGTTCCCAAGACTGTCGTAAAGGCAGTGCAGTGCCCCTTGGGTTCAGAAGAATATCTAACGTGCAATAAATACTTGTTGAGTCAGTACGCCCACTCCAGCCCTGTTCCGAACTGTTTTCATGTGGTCACAATAGGATCAATTGTTAGGCTCTGACTATTGAAGCGGATAGCCAAACTTTCAGTGTTCGTGACAAATGTATTCCTAGATGATTTTTAAAGGACCCTGGGTTTGTACACGTAGAAGGTGAGGATGTTCACGTCACCAAATCTCCCATTGCCATTTTCGTTCCTCGGTGGCACTGAGCTGCCACCATCTCGTTTTGCAGAGATCAGACCATTTTCAGCTCCCCCTGACCCTGGTGTAGTCGGCTCCTCATGTCATTTGGAATGCGTGTGTGCTCACAGGAAGGTCTAGAGGGTGCCGTGTTTTCTACCTGGCTGTACATGCAATGCTCTGTTGAGGGTCTGTGGTGGTGGCTAATAGCATCGTTCTGCTTCTGTGTGTTTTCACCGTGCTTCCTAATAGCGCATCATTTGAATTGAACTTGTGTTGTTTTTCTCTGGCCATTGTGAGGAGTTAAATCTCCCCGGATGCATCTTGATTATCCTGGAGAACTTTCCATGGCTCTGTCCCCATATTGTAGAAGCACCTGCTAGCTTGGACTAAATCCAATGGTGTTCCTTTTGGTGCCATGACACAGCATATATAAGGACATAGACTGGAAGTGGGGTTCCCAGCGTGGGAATATCAAGGGCCAAAGTCAAACCCACCTCCTGCCACAATGCCATTTTTTGCCAGGTGTCCCGAAGACCGAGAAGTGGCCCTTTGTCAACCCTGGGGGTCGGGGAGGGTGCTAAACCCAGAGCCTGACCCCTATGTGCTGCTTGATGCTGAGTGGTGAGGCGAATTGCCTTGAAGCATGTATTCAAGGACTGACCTTCTGTTTGGTTTTCTCCTTCCCTTAGTTGCGATCCAGCTCGGAGCTCCACCCGGACCTGCTTTCTGACTGCCTCACTGTGCAGCCCCTGCAGCCGGCCGCCTCCCCTCGAGATGCCGCCGCCACCACCGTGGACAGGGCCCTGGGATGCTCCCCGGGGCCAGGGCCTGACCTCTATCCAGGTAACCACAGCACAGGTGGCTCAACTCCATGCCCTATGCTTCTGTTCCAGGCCTGGATCCAAGAACGCTCATGGGAGCAACACATCCTCCC